ACATTGGTTTTCCCCAAATGAGATGATGAAACCCCCTCAGAGGAGGGATGAACAGCTCGGAGCTCTGGAGCTCTGCTGTGTTCCCGGCTCGCCCAGTGACCAGCTGTGCTCTGACTCCATCTGGGGTGGGACAAGTATTTACCGGGAACTTAGGGTACCAGCCACTAGATAGCATGTGTAGTGGTGAAATTACAGGGCAGAATTGCATCTTAATCATTTTTAACTAAATAGTTGTGTGTTATTAAGTATATTTGTAGTTTTTCATAACTATCACCACTATCCTTTTCCCAAAGTTTTTCATCTTACCATATTACACCTCTGCACACACTAAATTATAACTCTCTACTCCTCCCCAGAGTCCTTCATCCCATCTTACTTTCTATCCCTCTGTAGTCATATGAATGGAAGCATACAGTATTTTCCCTTTTGTGTTTTTCTTACTTTACTTGGCATAATGTCGTCAAGGTTCATCCATGTTGTAGAATGTTATCAAAATTGTATTCCTCAGGGGGGCACCTGTGGCTCAAAGGAGTAAGGTGCCAGCCCCCTATGCCGAAGGTGGCAGGTTCAAACCCAGCGCTGGCCAAAAAAAAAATTGTATTCCTTGTTAGGACTGTTGTGTGGATACACCTCATTTTGCCTACCCACTTATCATTGGATGCAGTTTTAAATTGTGTACACAGTCTGCCTACTGTGAATAACGGTGCTGTGAACATGGGTGTACCAATACTGTTTGAATTCCTGTGTTCAATTATTTTCAATATTTGGCCAGAAGTGGAATTTCTGGATCACATGGCAATACTTTGTTAAATTTTTTGGAAGAATTTTTGTATCGTTTTCCACAATGGCCATTTTACATTCTCACCAGTAATGCCCAAGAATTCCAATTTTTCCAGCTCCTCAGGAACACCTGTCACTTCTTTTCTTATCAAAGCCATTCTAATGTATGTGAAGTCTAATGCCACTGTGGTTTTGATTTGTATGTCCCTAAGTATTAGTGGTCTTGAGCATCTTGTCATGTCCTTATGGGCCATTTGTATACATTCCTTAAAGAAATTCCTCTTTTAGTCCTTTACCCATGTTTTACTTCCAGTTGACTTGCAATAGTTCTTTATATTTTCTGGATATTAATCTGAAGCTAATTATCAGATATATAATTTGCAAGGGGAAAATATCTCTCTGATCCCTGGGACCTTCCCAGGGGAAGCTGGGCAGACAGTGCTGTCTGAGAGGTGGACAGCCTGTTCCACACGCACCTGGGTCTCTCATGATGACACCATTACTAGAGTTGGAGTCCCTTAGGTGGTGAGATGCACAAGCCAGTCTCACTTAGACTCTGCCCAGTTTGGACAAATTAGAGCAAATGCTATTCCTGTTTGCTTTGGCCTAGTGAAAAGGAACAAAGAATTTCACATGCCTTGTTAGGCATCTCCCCATCTGCCTGACTGTCCACAGGAATTAGGCATGGGGCTCTTTCTAATTTTTCTAAATTACACACATCACCTCTCCAAATTTGATATCATTTAACGCTTTGTATGATTGAGAGGCGTCAAACTTTCACCCAGTTCCTGCTGGTCTAACTCATTATTTCTAGATCCTTTCCTGAAATCTGCTTCATCATTTTATGGTCACTAGCTCATGCTAGTCACCACAGACCCCTGGCCAGAACTTTCTGCATCCAGCTTCGGGGACTTGAGAACTCTGCTGACCCCCAGACCTGCTCGTGGTCTCCCTGTGTTATTTCTTTCCAAACACCCAGGCCCCACCATCACCCAGCTTTAAGATGTCCTTGTATACTGAGGCCTCAGAGAAAATGCCCCTCAGCTGGACATGTAGGACTGTGCAGCTGGAAAGGACTCAGCACCCATGTGTCCTGAGGATACTCAGGCAGTCAGAGCTCAGGGAAGGGCCAGGAGGGGCACCAAGGAATTTCTGGCTCCCAGTCCTGTGTCTGTCCACAACCCAAGGCTGGGGCTTAATTTACACTTGAGAAAGTTGGTGCATCTCCCACACAGAGCAGGCCAAAATTTGTTCTCTCACCCCAGATCCTCACACATTGGTCTGTGACACACAAGCCTGCCTTGATCTTTTAAGGACTAAGGTTGGCTGAGAGGTGAGAGATGCCATCTGTACTTGAAAGACACCTTTGGAGGAATCAAAAGCACCACACAGGGCAACCTTCTCTCTGTTATGTGCACAGCAGAGTTCTCCAGACCCTTCATCACAAGCAACAACTCCAACCCCGTGGAGAACAAAGACTCTGTGGCATTAATCTGTGAACCAGTGATGGAGAATGTGACCTACCTGTGGTGGCTAAACAATCAGAGCCTACCAGTCAGTTCCAGTCAGCAGCTGTCCCCAGACAACAGTTCCCTCACATTTCTCAGTGTCACAAGGAATGAATCAGGACCCTTTGTGTGTGCAACACAGACCCCAGAGAGCACCAACCGCAGTGACCCCTTCACCCTGAATGTTCTCTGTGAGTATCTCTTTTCCTCTGTGGCCCAGACTGCCAGCCTAAATCCACACAGCCAGACCCAGGCCACTCAGTCCCTCTCATGTCCAAGTACAGACCCTCACTCCCGGGCACCCAGGCTGGCCATGACTTCCTGCTCCTGGCAAACTCAGGCAGGCTCAGTCTTAAGCAAGAAATGGAGGGAGGGGCTGTTCCTATCTTGCGATGCTTGGGGTTAATGAACTTTTATGGGAGAAACAGGTGAATGTCTCCCCCAGGCTCAGTGAGCATAGATGGGATGGGTGGGAATTTTTTACAAGGGTTGGGACACAGCTCAGAGAGAGACTGTGGTTCTTTAATAGAGGAAGAGTTTCCCCTTCCCTTGATGACATCACATATGGCTTTATTCTCTTTGTCCAGATGGCCCCGACACCCCCACCATTTCCTCTCCAGAGTCATCTTACATTTCGGGGGCAAACCTCAACCTCTCCTGCCACGCGGACTCAAACCCACCTGCAAACTATTCTTGGCTTATCAATGAGATTTCATGGCAAGACACACAAGTGCTCTTTATCCCTGGAATCACTACAAAGCATAGAGGATCCTACACCTGCCATGCCCATAACTCAGCCACAGGCCTCAATGCGACCGCAGTCAAGAATATCACAGTCTTGGGTAAGTAGATAGATGCAGCATCAGCAGAAAGTTTTAGGGTGGACTCTCGTGGGGTTTCCGAGAACAGTCAAGCAGATATTTCCTTTC